TCGGCGTCATTAATCCATAGCAAGTCCAAGCAGAGCATGCGAGTCACAGCTCTCTCGTTCGAATACCAGAAGTAACCTTGCCTGACGTGACATAGACTGCAGAAGGCGGCTTTATGGAGGGATGGTTCCGAAGGCTAACGTTTCCCGCGGCACGCCAGTCCACAGCGTCTTCAGGTAGCATGCAGCATTCACCATGTCGTAGTATGGCTACGTTTCTTAAGTTTCATTATAAGTAACGGATTTGCTAGATCAGTCTCGAGCTACGCCCGAAGACACTACTGTTGCATAGTCTGTAGCTGCTCATTCGCCCTATCCCAGATGCCTACTGGTTTCGCTAAAGAGCATTTCACTATGCGCACCTGTGAACTCATTGGATATCCAAAAACTAGGCTAACCGACAGACCCTGTTTTCCACGCTGGCGGTCTAAATGAGTGACGTGGTGGTACCGGTGGCATCCTTTGCAGCCATTCTGCATACAATGATTCACAAGGAAGTGTAAGAAGAACAGGTGAGATTAAATAGAAAAGGATCTGGCTGGGACCTTACGCTCGAGGATATAGCAGCGTCTTGATCACTAGAGCACCCCGTTCCGAACCCCCCCATTGTCGATTTTTCGTCAATAACACCCATCAGCTGGTGCCAAAATAAAAATTATAATTATTAACTCCCTAGTTAGAGTAAACTGTGAGGCCTTGCGAATTCGACAGTTTCTTAAGGCGTTGGTTAAACTTTTTTCCAAACCGGGAGGATATGCTTGAAATAAAGAATCAAATCAAGAAGCAGTGTGCGGTCTTTTATTGAATCCTTGGGAATCGGCCTGTGATGGCGATAAAATAACCAAATGAGGACCTTAGTAGATGGAGGTAAAAACCTACCTCGAACGGGTCCCTGACCCTGCTGATTACGGTTTGTCTGACTGGTGTGCGAACTAACTAAATCAGTCCAGGTGTTCGTCAATGACCGGCCGCAGGGGAAAACAACCAGCTTAGGTGCCGTTTATAAGCGAGGACAATGCATGGGTACATTCTAATAGGAGAGACCCTTAACACAACACCAATACTGAAAATAACAAACTCCTACGGATATAACCCTCAAACCGTGCAAAATTCGTTTACTCTAGAATAGGAACCAACAACACGTTGTGACAATCTCGGTTAAGATGCCCGGACGGCCATAGCTCCAAATCGCATCTGCAACCGTCTTACTCGAGTCACACCGTTGGAGCAGGGTGGGGAACGGAGACGGGTCGCACTATTTTGCAAAACCTGTCCTCACCATAATCCATTTGATATGCGACCGAGACCATCAAATATGCCATGGCAATATGGTTCCCCGTATAACGGGCGGCCTTGCGCCATGTTCTAGTGGGTTAGAGTTAGGGTTATGTGGATTGGTGTTAGTGTTGGGGGTTAGAGTTAGGACGCGGGAATAGGTACCCCTTATTTCCGTGTCCAACTGATTATTGTGACCTCTCAAAAGCCGCGGTTTGACATGCTGTCGCCCGACTAAAGCCAAACTGCAGTAGGCTCTGCTTACCGTTTGGAAATTACATATGCCAGCGCTTGAGTTTTCGCTTAGCTTATAACGCGGACAAGCAACGTCCTGTCGCACGTGCGAGAAGAGGAAGACGTCAAGTTATCCACTGGACAAATTTGGTTTTCAGTCTTTCTGACAGACAGTGATGTCGATGCTCTGCAAATCTTCCTCACCATAAGTGACGCATGACGAGCTGCGCTCTGTGACAGACATTAGCCCGAAAGCTCGGTATTTTGACAACAAAGGTAGATAGGAAGGAAGAATTTATCGATTTCACAGAAGACGTGTTACCAGTAGAACATTTCCGAGGAACTTCATCGATAGTAGTAGTAGTAGTAGTAGTGGTAGTAGTGGTAGTAGTAGTAGTAAGCAGGCGAATAAAGCCCTTGTTCCAGCGATCGCTTCTTCTTCTTCTTCTTCTGATCAGTAAGCATCCTTTTGTACGACGCAGTTACTTGGGGGCCTTCACTAGCTCATTACCCTTCATCATGGCAAAAAATGATGAAAGTTATTCAAAAAAACAAAAAGACACATTATATTCACAGATACTCGCAGCTTCTAAACCTACATCAAATATACGGTTACGTGGGTGGTACTTACCAAAGTAAAGGATGACTACACAGACGGACTCGGTCGTATTTTACTAGCAAACAACGACTCACCACAGAAGAAATGATCATCAAGCGCATAGGATAAATGTGTGCCGGCAAATCTTGATCGCAGGAAGGAAATGGGCATTTCCATATTACTTTTTGGCTGATGATCTGCAGCGCACGCAGTCGGTCGCCGGGAAATTAGCAATGAGTAGTTAATTAGCAGGCTTATCTATAGGAACTTAGACATCGCAATAGGCCATTTCTGCCTTAGTAACCCTGTCTAACTAGTTTTAATTTAGGCACAAGCCACACGCTCGACGTCTCAACTCGAGCCAGTTGGGCGAAAAGCAAAACCCTCACATCACTGAGCCACGACCTCATGAGAATGAGGATGTTTAATGAAATGGGAGCGGCGTGCAAAAACCTATCCTGGTTGCGGATCGCGAAGAGGAAATTTGTGCGGACATCGAGATGAGGGTTTTGCAGATAATACAGGTGGCCTCATGGTGTCATAAAGCGAGCAATACATAAGTTTTTCTGATAAGGAGAAGGAAGTTGGAATAGCATTTTTGGCTTATTTATCTTCAACAGTCGATTCTACCTCGAACCGACGTTTCAAATCCAGACATACGGTAAACGAGCAGCTAGCTCAGAAAACTCGAATTTTGGGCTCATTCTACACGTTGTCTAAAACCTCCTCCACCCGTGAGTCCGGATGAAAATGAGACGCATCAGTGGTATGTTCAATCTGTTCTACATTTATTAGAATGCCATGCATCTGACAATTTTGCATTCCATACAAACATGCCGACTAAATGACACACGTTTCCAAGAACACGCCGACACACCCTGTATCTCCTGCCTCAGCTGCACCCTTACACAGGCAGCAAAATCAGGCCAAGCCGCCGATTCTACTACAATCGACGCACATCTTCTGACCCTCTGGTGCAGTTGCGCAAACCAGTCATGCCATCGTTTGTTCCACTATCGACACCTTACTTTCGCCTTGTCTGACAGGTCCCCTTGGCCAACCGCCATTCTTGCGTCGCTCGACTTCTTTGATCCAAGCAGCCACGTTAGGGCCGTCCACGTCCCCAACGAATACTCTCAACTCCACCGACATTACGACAGTTAGATCGTCGATTCTGACGACGTCAGCAGCGTGCACCACGACAAGGTGGGGCAGGGACAGTGGCTTCCGCGTGCTTTAGTTTATCGTGAATATAGACTTACGCAATGTCTACCGCACTGTCCCCACACCCGCCTGGTCCCGGTGTAAAGACACAGTCAAGAAGACCGAAGGCGCAGGTAGATGGCATGGTTGAGCCCGCACCTTGGCGTTCCATTCCGCATCCCCTGGTCCACACAGCAAATTACCAGGTTTTTGACCAACAACAACCACAAACCCCTTGCAGGGGTCAAAAGGACGAGGATGACTAGCCTGCCATGCCAACTACCTGTATACCCAGCGGGAGCGCAAGCGCATCTACCTGTAGGAAACAAGGCGTCAGGGAACAGTCAGCGCATACCAGGCTGAGAGGGCAATGGTTTGCTGATATTGGCACGACACATGCTTTCAGAACTTTTCGAACTAGAAGGGCCACACGCGACGCTGCATTTAGCCTGGGCCGTCATCCTTTGAGGTTGGAAAACCGATCAGTCATCGACTGAGAGGTACTACCTATAAGTCACACATACAAACAAAAAACACATTCCTCACATGCATGAAAGTGTCAAAGATCGATTGAGAAGGGGTCGTGACAGCCTGGCTTTCAGCCCACCAGTTCGCCAGTCTACAAAACACACACAACTGGGCAGACTGCGTGAAATGAGTTGGGGCGTTAGTCGGCTGCCTTACGAGCCACGGTGCTCGACGCACCGTCTTCGTCTCAGATTCCGATCACACATGCAGCGAGGGAGCGGCACGGAGACCGAGTCGAGACGCACTCTTCCCAATTGCGTGGGAGGTGGAGGTTGGGTGCTTGCGGTGGGCGATGTTGATGTGCGGTGAGGTGCTGGTGTGGGAGGATGTGATGGTGTGGTGCAGTCGGAGGTTGTCTACCACAGGTTTTCGTGGATGTGCACATTGCCTAATAGATCCGTGCGTGAATAAATGTGCGAGTGCATTGTGGACAGTGCAGGCGGATGCGGCGAGTGTAGGCTGGTGTTCCAGACACTGGTTCGCCAGTCTCTGTGCGGTGGATTCGCAAGTGATCGACCAAGCCGGTGCGTGAAGTGAATTTACACGGACAGTGTGGACATGAGAATTCGTTGGTGTTAGTATCAGCTTCGGTGATGGTGGAGCTGGTGGCGGTGGGCGTGCTTGTCGCCGAAGTGTGGGCGGGGTGAGCTTGGTGGATATGCTGGATGTGCTAGGACTGTGTCGGGGCTGCGGTCGATTCCGCTCTCGTGGATAGGCGTGTGGCCCAATAGGCCATGCTGCACATGAATGTGCGAGGACAGTGTGGACAGTGGAGGCGGATGCGGCGGATCGAGGTCGGTGCTCCAGGCACTGGTTCGCCAGTCGCTGTGCGATGAGTTCGCAAGTGATACACCAGACCGATGTATGAGGTGAAGGTGCGATCGCAATGAGGACATGTGTAGACCAGGTCCTCAGCAGTGGTGTTGATGGTGGTGGTGATGGTGTTTGTTGGGGCGTCAGGATTGTGTGTAGTGTTGATAGGCATGGTGGACGCCACAGCGGCAGACGTTGAGTAGGTGAAGGAAAATGGTAGTGGTGGTACGGAAGGGCGATCAACGTTGGTTGACGGCGTTGGGGGCGAGGGAGAGGCGGAAGGAGAGACGCCGGTTGGCGCAGTGCGGGTGCTGCATTTGGTTCTGAGGTATCCCACAAGTCCTGTTGGCGCTTAGAATGTCCGTTGATATCGCGGACACGTTGGAGACGGTTGGGCGTTGGCGTCGTGAGACGGCGGCGGCGGCGTCGGCGGCTGAGATTTGCGTCTCTCGCGTTTGGCTTTAGTGACGGTGATGTAGTTGACTTCGTAGATTGCTGAATCTGTCTTCACGGCTCTCCTCCAAGTCGGTCGCTCCTGAGCAAGGTCTTCCCAGTTGGTCGGGTTGATTTGCAACGCTTCAGGGAGATTTCCAGGGTGCTTTTGTAACGCCGCACTTGACCTCCTTGTCGGCGGAAACCAGTGGGTACATAGATGAGCCGTTTGGACAGACGTATGTCGTCCATCCGCACGACCTGGCCGCTCCAGTGCAGTTGCAATTGTTTCAGTATGGTGTAGATGTGGAGGACTCCCGCTCGTTCCAGTAAGTCTGTGTCCGGGATCTGGTTTTGCCATCTCAACTTCAGTATCCGTCGGAGACAACTGAGGGGGAAGTGATTGAGTATTCGCGCCTGCATCTTGTACGTATTCCAGATACATCAGCGTCGGCAGGATGACTGCCTTGTACATCTTTAGTTTGATGTTGAGATGGAGACCATGTCGATTCCAGACGGTGCTTTGCAGGTAGCCGAAGGTTTGGCTGGTTTTGTAAATCCGGCGGACCACTCCATCGTCGATTTTGGTGTTACGGGAGAAGGTGCGGTCTAGGTAGGTGACATTGTCCACGACTTGCAGTTGGACGCCGTTCACGTTGATTTTGGGTGCGTTGTAGGAAGCGTCGGGTAGCGGTTGATGCATGACCGCCATCTTCTCCGTGTTGATTATCAGGCCGAAGCTGTCTCAGGCGGCGGCGAAGAGATCCATGCTTCTTTGCATGTCCCCTTCAGAGGTGGCATTGAGAGCGCAGTCGTCGGCGGAGAGAAGTTCATAGACGATAGTTGTGGATACACGTGACTGGAAGTACATCCGCGGGCGGTTGGTGAGTTGGCCGTCTGTCCTGTGGGCGATGCGGATTCCAGGGCGTTTGTCGTCGTAGGCGTACACTAGCATGGCAGAGAACATGAGACTGAAGAGGGTAGGCGCGAGGCTGCAGCCCTGCTTCACTCCATCGGTCACTGCGAATGCCTCTGAGACAGTTGCATTGTCCGGGACGCGCGCCATCATGCCATTGTGAAGCTGCCAATTCAATTCAATTCAATTCAATTATTTTTATTAAAGACCCGTCGGGGTCCCATCAAAGCAAGTAAAAATAAATTTACATGCAAATTTTAGACGATGTAGGCAAAATCTGCACAAAGTGCAATGCATAGTTTTTGAGATTAGAAGTCCGTTAAGCAAAATGAAAATGAAAAAAACGAGGGGTGAAAAAAAAAACTCCAAACCAAAATTTAAAAATGATTGTAGTAATTTTAACAGGAGATAAAAAAACCCCTCAGAAAAATAGCATCAGAAAAAAAAAGGAGGACTGGCCTGCATGTGGCGGTACAAAATGGAATAAAGCCCGACATCAACATGGCCGAAATAGATGTCAGCTGTATATGGCATTGTGTAACGGATTTCATAAAATGGTAAGTAGGCGGGTCGGTCAGGACTGGCCTGTATCGCCTTGAATAAGAAAAATAAGTGCCGAAATTGAAAACCAGTCTCAAGCCGATAGCAACCCAGATGCGGTCAGTTTCATTCCACCGAGTCCATCCGAACATGGGGGGAGATGCGACCAGACTTCTAGTATATGGCGAATATAGAAGGCTTTGTCAAGACCGCCGATGGAGCGCATTCTGTAAGGGCATGATGACAACCAGTCTCGAGGCGACAAGAACCCAGATGCGGTCGGTTTCATTCAACCGAGTCCATCCGAACATGGGGGGAACATGGGGGGAAGGGAGATGCGACCAAACTACTAGTATATGGCGAATATAGAAGGCTTTGTCAAGATCGCCGATGGAGCGCATTCTGCAAGGGCACGATGACAACCAGTCTCGAGGCGACAAGAACCCAGATGCGGTCGGTTACATTCATCCGAGTCCAACCGAGGATGGGGAAGGGAGATGCGACCAAACTACTAGTATATGGCGAATACAGAAGGTTTCGCCAAGAGCGTCGATGGCGCGCATTCTGTGAGGGCACGATGCATAAACTAAAAAATTGGAATAATTAACATTTCTGGTGAGGGATCTTAGGTAGCGAGACTACTCATAAAGAAAGGAAACGTGAACAGATGCGGAAATTTAATAGCGGCATGCTAAATTCCCGGTGGCCCTTTCTCAGTGTCATAGAAAAAGTTGTCTGGGAAGGATGAGGAAAATAAAAGTTTAATCGAGTCAGTATTCAGATAAAGGCGTAGCCTTCTCTTAAAGGTGTGTAGATTTTCTGAAGATCTTATATTTATTGGAAGGTTATTCCAGAGAAAAGTATACCTGGAAGCGAAAAAAAAGGGAGCGCTTAGAGGTGGAGGACGCTGGAAGAGGTATAATTAGAGACGAGTTGCGGAGATTGTATGGGCGACTACTAGGGGTAAGTGTTGAAATCCGAGGAAAATTTGAACTATGATTAATGCGAAAGAGGAGACAGAAGCCCGCTTCTAGTCTTCGAACCCATAAAAATTTCAGGTTAATTAGCTGGCACCTATCTGAGTAGGAGATATTGGGATGTTCCCTATCTAAAAGTTTTTTTGAAAAACGTCTTTGGACATTTTCAATTTTTAAACGACTGGCTTCATTCATCAAACCAAAGAATTGGCAACAATACTCGAGAATGGGAAGTACAAACATACGATAGAGCCCTAATTTAATTTCAGGAAGATAGAAATTGTAAGAAATAAAGCCACAAATCCGGGCAGCTTTGGCTGTAATTCTGTCAGCGTGCGGCGAGAGATCAAGATTACTAGTGTAGCTTAAACCTAAATCCTTGATGGTGGTACATTCAGTCATAGGTGTTCCTTGAAAGACCACACGATGGGTTAGCCTATCAGGTCCAAAACACATATAACGACATTTAGACGGAGAGAATTCCATTAGCCATTTTGAGCTCCAAGCTGAGAGAGCAAGCAAGTCAGCATGGATTTGCTCCAGGCAATGAAGGCTCGTAGATTTTTTAAAAGAATATACACATTTGAGATCATCGGCATAAATAAATGATTGAGAATGTTTAACTGCGGCTGAAATATCATTTATGTAAAGCAAGAACAAAAGAGGACCTAAAACGGTACCTTGTAGGACACCGCTCACAATAGGACTTTCACTGGAAAGTGAAGATCCCACCAAAACCTTTTGTTTACGATTAGACAGGTATGACCTGAGAAAGTCTATTAGTGGACTGCGAATTCCCATAGCTTCCAATTTAACCAAGAGTCTTTTATGTGGCACTTTATCAAAGGCTTTACTAAGATCAAAATAAATTACGACAACAGATAGGTGATCATTACGAAGAGAGGTAAGTAGATCGAGAAACGACAGATGACATGTTTCACAAGAGCGATCTGGTAAAAAACCATGTTGGGAAGGGCTAATAACTTGATTGGCTATGCAAAATTCGGTAATTTTTATGGCGATAATTTTTTCGAAGATTTTGGCGAGAGAGGGTGTTTTATGGACACCTCGATAGTTCTGTACGTCAGAACGACAGCCAGACTTAAATACTGGAATAATAATAGAAGTTTTCCAATAGTCAGGGAAGAAGCCATTTACGAGAAAAACTGAAAAGATTTTGCTAAGCAGAGGAGGAAAATCTCTTAGTTGTTTTATCAAAGAGTTTGGGATATTGTCCGTACCTACTGAGTGAGAGTTAGGAAGATGGCTTATCAGTTTTTGAATACATTCAGGAGAAAAATTAATGAAGCTAAGAGAAGCATCAGACAACGAAGGAATTAAAGGGATCGGATCAGTTTCAATGGTGAAATGCTTGGCAAAGAACGAATTTAAAATTTCTGCTTTGCCTGACTCCTCTGTAATGAAGGCATCACTTGCACTAAGCAAGGGCGGAATGACTTGGTGGGACTTAGCAGATGATCTCTGACGGAAGATCTGAGCAACTGATTTAGAAGAATTCACGTCATTAATAGCTAAAGACTCTCTACGCCTATCTCGCTCGAGCCTCATTTTCGAAGCTAGTTCAAATATTTCAACGATTCTTAGATGAACTGATAATGAACTCACAGAAGGATCTTTAAACTGCTTCCGTAACTTTTTAAGTCTGTTTTTAAGAAAGTGTGGGATAGCGGTCATCTGAATTGATCATTCGGGACAGCCAAATTTCTGCATGTTTGTCAACAACCCTTCACGATTCGTCATTTTGAAGGTTTTCGTTAGATTCACGAGGGTTCACGCCGAAGATCATGTCGTGGGTTTCATGATGACGGCGGAAGCCGAACTAGCTTTCTAGTAGGCGACCCAGTTCCAGATAGTTGTTGAGGCGGTTGAGAAGGATGCGAGCGAACATCATTCCGACGATGTTGAGAAGGGAGTCACTTCCGTGGTTGTCGCAGAGTTGACAGTTCCCTCTCCGCTTGTAGCGATGGACTATTGGGGCGTCCCTGAAGTTCTGCGGGACTCCCTGACGCCACATCTCTTGGAAGAGCGCTGTGAGGTGAGCCATAAGTTGCGGGCCACCGTGTCTGTAGATCTCAGCAGGGATCGCGACCGATCCGGGAGCCTTCCCGCTGGAGATCTACTGCAGGGATTTGATGGTTTCGTGTAGGGAGGGCGGGAGATCGAGGTCGGCGTTGGTCTCTATTCGGGACAGACAGGTTATGGCGACACCGGTGATGGCCGAGAGACGATTGAGGGATCCACAGCGATTACGTCTTTAGATTACCTCAGCAGCATGAGTTCCAAGGGTCAGGAGAACGGGCATATATTAATAGGTCGCACGGCCATTACCCAGTAGCTACTTAAACAGGCTTTCTTCGAACGAAATGCCCATGAAAGTCGTACTAACAGCGACAGTTTCGTAGAGGTCGTCTTGTATTTCAGTTATGACTGTAGTAATGTAGGGCAAAATCCTATGCTGTTTGTTTTACCGAACGATATGAGTTTCAATTCCTCCGTTTTTCCTTTTCCGACTTGATCTACTGGACGTGGTGGAACGAGGATAGGCGCCAGATGTCAGACAAAGGCGAAGGCAGTGTCATAGGAAGAAAGCAAGTCAGACTGTTCACCTCGGCGTAGAAGACTACGAGCACGCCAAATGCTGTACCTCCGTCCGCCTCTGCCTCGAATTCCACACTGACTATCAACGCTTACCGCAATCCTGAACTCCCAACGTCACTTTCATTACCTCAACATCCGCTGCGGCTGCTCCTCTACCCACCTCCACTGCATTCATTCCTGGCACATCTACAAAAATTAACCTCCCCACCGTTGACACCAGCGTTGTGAACTCAGTCCACATCTGTCCTCATTGCGATCACACCATCACCTCACACATAGGCCTGATCGGTCACTCGCGAATCCATCGCATAGAGACTGGCGAACCAGTGCTCGGAGCTCACACACGCACTCGCCGCATTTGCCTCAAATGCCCTCACTGCACGCGTACATTCACCAACCATATAGGCCTGTTAGGCTACACGCGCATTCACGAAAACCTCTGGTAGACAACTGCCAGCTACAGCACACCATCACATCTTCCCCCACCTACATCACACAACATCATCACCAGCCACAAGCATCCAACTGCCACCTCCCACGCCAATAGAAAGTGTGCTTCTGGGCTCCGTATCCATGCGACTCCTCTCCTGCATGTGTGATCTGAGTCTGAGATTATCATGGTGCATCAAACACCGTGGCTCGGGAGGCTGCCGACTGACGTCCCAACTCAGTCCGCAGGGTCTCTCCAGTTGTGTTTGCTTATGTATGGAGTGGCGGACTGGTGGGCTTTTAGCCAGGCTGAAGCGGCTCCTTCTTAACGTGGCTTACAGCACACTCACGCATGTGAGATGCATGTCGCTCAAACCTGGTTGGGTGAAATCCTGGTGCTTGTGTCTAGGGAACCAGGTCGGGCATGTGTCGCGCGCAGACAAGGTCACCAGATATGCCAGCCACCGCGCCCATTCCCCGCACTTGTCAACTGACCGGCTCGGACAGGGGTTGGGGTCTTGGAATGGGGAAATAGTGTGAGAGCGATGTCTCAGTCCATTTTCCTCAATGTAAACAATCTGACGCGCTTTAAGCTATCATGGTGGGCTAGAAGCCGTGGTTTGGAAGGTTACTAACTGACGGGTTAACTTTGGCCTCGCAGTCGGCCGAGTGTTGTGTGTTTGTGGAACGGCCAACTGATGGTCTAAGAGTCAGGCTGTAATGGCCACTCCTCAGTGTGGCCTTTATGGCACTCCCATTGCGTGGGATCCGAGCCACGCTTGACGGCACTCCTAGGCACGCCTTCGGCCGGTCAGTTCTTTTTGTTGATTGTCAAAGACCTGGTCATTTGTTGCGTGCATCAAGGACTGTAGAGTCTGTATCATGGTGCGGGCTTGACCGTGTCGTCCACCTGCACCCTCCCTCCGCCTCCGGTCTTCTTGACTCTGTCTTTTTACCGTGTCCAGGTTGTTGAATATGAGGCTGTGCGGTAGATGCCACGCAAGTCACTATAAACAAATTCTCGCCCAACTTCCGACCGCCATGCCGCGGGGCTCCCTATGGACATCGTCGTTTGCGAGGGTCGAACTGTCATTCTGTTTTTGAATACGGGAAGTAGCTTAATGGATGACACCAAATCAAATATAATACCAGAGGCTCTCTAGGCGCCTTCCGTCAGTTGTTTCATGCTTGATTAAGTTTTGCTGGTGCATCAGCGCTAGGAGCATAACCAGAGACTACATTACACGTTTCGGGCGCGGCTTCGCCAAACTGTGTCGTAGAGGTCTCAGAAAGTAGAAATGTCCTCCAATTCTTTCAGCTGGCACGTATGACGATACCTTTAAAAGCCAACCCAGATTTCAAAATGAGGCGGGACACTGATTTAACTAAAATTGTTCCCCTTTCTATTGAAGTACAAGTATGCTCAAGTCAAATGAAGACGAACAAATTTCCTTGGCCGGAGGGAGTGCTTGGGCTTCTTCGCAAAGAGTCGTTTGCATAGTCGACGGTCCCTCTTGCATTTCTGCATTGCTGTCGATGTGAATAGGTAGCTTTCCTTCGGAGTGGAAATCGGCCGACAAACTTCGTTACATTGAAGGGGTAGTCGGGTAGTTGTAGACGACTTTCGACTCGTAAGCCAAATCTATCATTGCTGTAAGGCCACAAACATTCTTATAGTACGGTTCCATGGGAACGAAAACATAACACAGGATTTCAGGCATGAGTTTCGGCGAGGACGTTCCTGTCCCCCAAATCTCCCAAATTTTCTGGAAGCTGGGTGAGTTTTAGAAAATGGTATTGACGTAAACATCATGCATGTCGATTTCCGTAAACTTTAATCCGTATTACCCACCAACGATCTCCGAATAATAGGAGTGTACTCGACATCAGAGGAAAGCAATAGGATCGGGTAGGGTTATTTCTGGCTCGAGGATGATCTTCTTAGCAGAGTCTACCACGTCTTTCCTTCTTCTCTCTTGAAGAACGATGCGCTTTCCTTCTTTATTTACATCGCCGTCTTCCCAATTTACGTTCTTTAGCTGTTATTTTTAGTCATATTCTCCCACATGTTATTTTCCTGCTGCTAATACTTGTACTCTTATTGTGGTTTACACATGAAACCGAATTTTCTGTTTTTCCACTGATCTTGAAGCAGTTTTCGACTTAGATTGTTCTTCCAAGGGTGTTGCTTAGAGGAGGCACATGTAATTTCGGTAGCTGAAATAAAACAGTTCCATCCAGATCGTGGTCCACTTTGACGAATATCCCCGAGGGGGAATGCCGTATCGTAGTTTTTCTGCAATACTACACCCAGAGAGTTTTATTCTGTTGGCGACGCGTGCGTCTACTATAGATGGGACACTTATGTTGTCTCCCATGAGCAGTGCTGCAGATGTAAGCATTCGCGGACCATTGTTTGGAAGTTAAAGCAGCCACTTGGAATCACCATATGGCGTATTGGATAGATCCAAATCCCGACCATCTTAGCAGTGATCTCAGTCACAACACCGCGAATAGAGTTGTGACAAAGTCTTTAATTTCTTTTTTGAGTAATAGTTTATTTCACAACGGAACTTGGCGGCAGGTACGTGACGTTTGGGAGGGGTGCACCTGTAATAAAAATAGATGCACGTTGTCAAGGAAATAGAAAATTAATGTCCAGTTGGCACTTAGTAAGGGCGTTCTTAGTCTGATGTGACCATTACTTTGCAATATACTTCATTTTTCTAATCATTAATTCTCATGTTTGATTTACAGAACTGAACCTTGCTGCAGCGCCATATTCGAAATTTGGGTTACTTCGCCTTAGATGTCATTTGCCGGTCTCGGTCGTTTGTACGCAGGTTTGTCTGTATTTTTTTGAGTTTTCGATATCCTTCGCGCGCGTGAATATGCACCATTTTTACATTATTCGATTGGCTTTCATATAATGACACTTGACATTCTACCTCCTGGTGTTTGCATCTCTTTTTCCCTTTATATGCTGCCACAATAGTCATCTTTCATAACGCTCAAGGTTATGTCCCCCGTTTATTGCATTCTTTCCCCTTTATCAAGTTGTTGTCGTCTGTTTTACCATAGTCGTCCCTCTACATGGTGTGTTACTAGGCTCTTTGCCGTTTACGATACGGCTTTATGATGAACGTCAATGTTCGCGATCGGTCTTTGTCGTAGGCAAGCCGCAGACTGGCGCTGTATATATTCTGTATCTGTTGACTGTCTCGCACTGCCATCTTGTTAGCTGCGACCTTTATTTTTTCCGTTGCTTCCTTCCCTACTTTATTTTTGCGGACAGTTTTGCTGTCCACTCCATGTAGTTGTCGATTTACACGTGGTAGTAGCGCAAATATTACCCTAGCACATTTCGATTTGCGTTTACCGGCCCAAATGTCATTAGAAAATCGCACATTGAACGAAGTTCTAGTTTAGCTAGGTTGGAAGAGCCTCAGTCCGCTCTACTAGCCTCCATCGTCTGCTGACAACAGCAATGGTTAAGTGAGCGACCGGGCGAGACGCTGTACAGTCTGGCGAGGGACTTCAGTTTTCACTTTTTTCCGTTAACACGCCCTTTTAAAATGATACCTTCAGTTTTTTCTGCTACAATCCACCCCATCCACCACTCATCTGGATTGTTTATTGGAAGTCTGTTTGCCTTGCGTAGTCAACGCTCACCGAAAGTCACCTAAAGCTGTGCTTTGGATAGTCTGGAGTGAACACTTCAGAGTAATGTAGTTTGTGTGGAGATGGTAAAAATCACTATGCAGACATGTAGAGATCTAGTAAATAGATGCCCATGAGCATCTAGAACCATCAGTGCCTTTGTGACTCAGAAGCAAGATGTTTGCGCAGTTTTTTTTTACAACAGTCGTGCTCGGTAGTATAACACCACAAGCTTAAAATGTGCATCCAAGCCGTTTTCCTAGCGAAGATAGGCGGTTTCTACACATCTAACCATAAACGCCAGTGCGCGGCTGCCTTCCACATTTGAAGCACAAACTTCGTATTGGATTCGCTAATTTTTGTATCTTGGTTAGTTTTGAGAGGGGGCATCAAGTTCAAGTCAGTCCATGGCCCAACCGGCGTTCTCAATAAAGCCGGATATTTTACAATATCACAGCAGATGTTTCATGGAAAGCTCTCGTCTAGCATTTCTTAGCCGTCTTTACCCAAACCCTGCAAAATATCGTTTACGTTCACATTTCTAGGAAAGCAATCTATTTCGAGTCCTATAAGTTAGAATACCAGTTTGTCTCTCTGAGTTTTGTGACAACGTATTCACCCTAGTCCATAGTCACACAGAGTTCCGTTGTTTTTCTGTATATTATGCCTTTCACTTATCCACACATTCATCTCGCGATTCGTGCACCTTAGTAGGAGACAGTTGTTTCAGCTATCCACACACCCAGAGGTGCGGGCTAAAATCTTTCCCTACGTATATTTGAGTAGTGTTTTGTTTGAAACTTACAACGCACAAGAATTTGTATAGTTCAGGCGGCTTACGACATCCCCCAATTGGGTTTTTAGCCTTTGTACTTTTGAGTCTCAGCCACAACAGCCCTTTACTTGACCATTTTTAACCACGTGCGGCTTCAATATTACATGACCCACGAATTATGCGCGCTCGTATTTTATCATTGACATTTTGTCTATTAAATTGTCATTTATGAAAAGCCGATTGTGTCTGGTGCATCTGGCACATTTGGTTATGCATTAAATGAGTCTGTGTTTTGATGTATATTTAAACTTTGAGTACTCGTCTGTTATACTCAATAGTCAGGCGTCGGTGGCTTAAATGTTTACCATAAGCCACTTCCTCTTTCATTTTTTTCTCATCGCGCAGTCTCAAACCTCGGATGACCTTTTCCTTATCTTTCTGCTGCCTGATTGTTCTTTTCTACTCGTGTTTTTTGAGTTCACATTCGTCTAGCTAAATTCACTATGTTTTCACCATCTTGCAGGTGAAGGCAAGCACGTGTGTCCACTCTGCGCTCGTCGTTTCCAAACCGCCCGCGACTTGCGTGTTCACAAAAAATTTCTGCACGATGGTAGCCTCAGTCCTATTTTAAAAATGAATAACTTTTTGGATGTTACTTTCACAATCAAAAAGTTAAACGGTAAAGGGAAAATTATGTTCTAACGTTGCCTGTGGAGTTACCATACCTTTCCTGCACGACTCGCGGCTAACAATTACGAGGATAGTCATCTGAGGCTGATTTAATGTCCGGAGTTTCGCCCTAAGTTCGTCGCGGTTTCATGTTGTCTGCTTTTTCGGGGAGGTTAACTACTATACATTTGTTTCTGTTCTCAAAATCACATCAAAGCGTAAATTCTACGTCTCCAATGTGATTGCCTGATTTATATTTACGTCTGCTACACATATCATACTATTGCCGTAGTTCGTTGCCTTTTGGAGTTGGGGTTTTTTAGCTGCCCCGCTGTAGTAATCAAAAAACTCATTGTGCGGACTAGCATTGCTGTTGTCAAGTACCTCGTATCGAACTCAGTACTCCAACATTTCTAATTGACTACTACGGGTTTGCGCTCAGCAGTCTGAGTTGCCAGACTATAGTTAGTATCTGGCCAAAGGGCCGGTCAATCTGCGACGCACTATCCTACTCTATTACTTACGCTTATTGCTTTTGTATTAATTCGAAGGCTATATATTACAGTAAGACAGCATTTCTTTACACGTTTTCTTTAGGACAATTCAGTTCGTACTCCAGTAGCTTATCAGGCTTTTTTTTTTATAGAAAAACGGAATGTCAACTGCAGCCTCTGCTATAAGAAGTTCTACAGTCAGTCCTTTCTTCGGCTTCATATGACGGTTTCGCACAGTGGCAAGTCAATCGTGTTTAATTCATCATTGTTTGTACCCTAGGCGCATTAACTAGTTTT